GCTGGCATGTGGTGCTGGGGGATTGAACCGTGGTCCCTGTGCTTTGCTAAGCTTGTTCTAAGTAGGTGCTTTAGACCACTGAGCCATCTCACCAGCCCCGATCAATCTTAAATATATATGGATTGTTATGAGAATTCACATAGTTCATCTTTTCTATTGTTCAGCTGTTAGATCAAAAGGAAATTTCAGCATACTGAAATAATCACTCTTTTTTCTGGAACATCCAACTCTTCATTGAACATAAATGAAAAAAGCTCAATTTTGTTTCCTGGTCCAGAGCTTTTTTATGGCACTTTTCATTTCTGCATTTCTCAGAGTATAAATGAGGGGGTTCAACATAGGTGTGATTACAGTATAAAACACGGTCAAGGGTTTATCAATCGGTAATGTAGAGGGAGGTCTCACATAAATAATGATGCAAGGAACAAAGAAGAGCACAACCACTATGATGTGGGAGCCACAGGTGGATAAGGCCTTATGCCTCCCTTCCTGACTCAAGTTCTTCATGGAATGCAGAATGACCCCATATGAGACGAGCAGGATTATGAAGATGGCCACAGACATCACTCCATCATTAGCCAGCACACTGAGGCCAACAACGTAGGTATTCGTGCAGGCGAGTTTCATTAAGGGGTACATGTCACAGAAAAAGTGGTCGATGACATTGTGGCCACAGAAGGGAAGATGGTAAACAAAAAAGACATGTGGAACAGCATGCAGAAGACCCCCAACCCAGGTCAGGAGCAGCAGCAAAGTACACCGCTGTTGGCTCATGATGGCTAGATAGTGCAAGGGTTTGAAGATGGCTATGTAGCGGTCATAGGCCATGACAACTAAGAGTGTTATATCAATACCTCCAAATAAGTGAACTACAAAAAGCTGTGCCATGCAAGCTTCGAAGGAAATGGTTCCTTTCTCATAGAGTAAGTCATTAATCATCTTTGGAGTAACTGTAGTGGAATAAATGGCATCCATTAGTGATAAGTAGCCAAGAAAGAAGAACATCGGGGCATCCAATGTTGGGCTCAGCATCACAGTGATGACAATGAGTAGGTTTCCTGCCATGGTCACCATGTAGATCAGCAGGAACACAGCAAATAATATTTTCTGACCCTGGAGGCTCTGAGTGAGTTCCAAGAGCATAAACTCAGTCACGTTGTTCCTTTGTTCCATATTTCATTCTGTGTGTCCTCGTGTCTCTGCTCAGAACTAAATTATTTGGAAGCATAATTATTAGTATGACCTCAAAAATTTAAGATGATATACTTATTAATTTCATTTATAAGCCCTGTCATTTGTTATGTCCCAGTCCTGTCAGATGTCATGCAGTAGCAAGTTTGATGAATGTAAGGGGCTACTTTGTAGAGGAATGCTATTGGAATAAGTTGTGAAAGACAGGTGGTGGAATGGATTATGTTTTCAATAAAAATGCATCTGCCTCAGCAAGTTTTCTATTAGAAAACTAAAATAATTTTACATATAATTGACTTAATTGAACAAAATAAGGATCAATTGGATATCATATAAAAAAACAAAGACATACTTTGTATTACTTCAAGTAATACAAAAAAGGTGACTTTTGACATTCCTGCTATAGAAAGACTTTCGGTTAATTATATGTTTCTCTAACAAACATATTGCTCTTTAGTTTATTTCTTTAACAGTTAGGGACTAATCACCTAAATAAAAAGTATTTGGAATGGAATTACACCTTAGGGAACATAAAATGTTACTACCTAAAACAGAAAAGTTTAAAGAAATTAATAAATGAAATATAAACCAATGGCAAAGTGCACATATGCTACAAGTAAGAAATAAAAGAAAAGCACATCCACATTATGAATAATCATAGAACACTGCCATTCACCTGAAGGATAAAATGACAATGAAAACATACAAACATCAATTCAGTAACTTTGGATTTTAAATATGGTAAAGCTCTAAGGCTGATAAAATTTTAGAAAGGTGTTTTCTCCAATTTACATGTTATGATTTGAGAACAAAATTTGAGAATCTCTGCTGAAGTAAAAATCTATGTACCATTCATCATAATTAAATACTTTGTGGTTTATTCCAAAGAAATTAAAGTCTTTGAACAGTAGGACATATAACCAACATGTTTTCTATCTTTTTAATAGCATTTATAAAGTTTGTAATTTAAGTTGACAATAAAGAAATTGTTGAAAAGATTATAAAATCTCTTAAAAGGACAGGTTATCTTTCAAAAATTAATTACACTTATATTAGTTTACTTAGAGAAATTTCCACAAGGTTCTACTGAATAAGAGGCAGAAAAGTATACCTGACAGGATATTATTATAAAACAAATCTAAAGATACCAGGCACTTTTCCACTTATAAATGTATGTTCAAATGAGAATGGGGAATATGGAAGTTCTGAGATACTTTGCAAACTCGCTGTATATTTGTGCTATTCAGGTAGGCAGGCAGGCAGGCAGGCAGGCAGGCAGGGATGCAGTTTGTGATGTACTTTTAATGGATTCTACATGAAGGATTAAAATGATAAGAGAAGGGCCGGGGAGATGGCTTAGTAGAATAAGCACTTGCTTGGCAAGAACAAGGGTCTGAGTTCAATCCCCGGTTCCGCAAAAAATTAAATAAATAAATAAATAAATAAATAAATAAATACAATGACAGGAGTGAGACAGATTTGGGAGGGAGGGAGAAGCAAGAGGAGAAGAGAAAGTAGAAGAGGAGGAGAAGAGAACAAGAGGAAAGAGAATATGGTAATGACAGGCAGAGAGAGAGGGAGAGAAAAAGAGAAAGAGAGAGAGACAGAGAGAGAGAGAAAGAGAGAGCGAGACAGAGAGACAAAGAGAGAGGAGACAGACAGACACACAGACAGACACACAGACAGACAGACAGATAGAGGTAGTTTTCACACTAAGAAGAAAAACTCTACTATATATAGGTCTATATATACTAGCACTTTATATTTTTAATTAACCTAATACAGTTACTCCTTGATCCATATTAACCTTACTTCAGTCTGACTTCATAGAATCTGCCCTGCATCCATTTTATAAACAAGGATTTTCTGTCTCCATCTCTAAGGCTCATAAGTCTGCTCTTGCAGATTTCATTATTGCCACAGCTCTGAATCATACTACACTTCTAATGTCCCCTCCATTTCATATATCATTCTTTCTCCCTGTGTTGCACCCTTCTATACAAATATTTAAAAAAAATTTCTGCATGCTGAAAAGCTTTATTCTTTGATCCAACATCTTTTTGAAACAAGCAGCCTACCTCAGTTCACAGCTCTTCTTTTGACAAAGCTCTTCCCTTTGTTGAGTCCAGTGGCACATTGAAGTCCTCCTTCACTTCCAAACCTCTCTCTCTCTCTCTCTTTTGCAGAACTCTGGATTGAATTCAGGCCCGTGCGCTTGCCAGGGAAGCATTCATACCACTGAGCCATCTCCCTGGCCCCAAACTTAGTTTTTTTTTCCTTTCTAAACCATTCTGAGGAATTGAAGGTACAGCTTCTTTAGTCAAGAATTCCCAGAAGCTCTTGGAAGTCACACAGTCACCTGTACAGAGATGAGATCCTTCAATGTTCATCATCTACACAATCCCTAAAAGAAAATATGGCTAGTCCTATGAAGAAAAATGCAAATAACTGGACTGCAAATATCTCTAAAACAATCATAATTCAAGATAATTTGTAAGAGAAATGCTTTTAGAGGAATATATCTAATTAGGATATATACAGTATTAAAACATTCAAGAAGAGTAGTACAGATTTGAATCAATATGCAGATCTTTAGGAATGATAGGAAATCCCCTAATTACCAAAATCAGATAGAACTTTAGAATTAGTAATAGTTCCTGAATAACCACTATGCTATAATAGTATATCTAAAGACTAAGCCAGAATCTCACAAGTAAATACCTCTTCTGAGTGACCTAAATAAGGAGACAGTCACGACTTCTGAATTCTGGATGTTCCCCATGGTCCTCTGTGGTAAGAGCTTCATATGTGGATACCGTCTCTGAAAATACAAAGAGCAAAAGAACGCTTTCCCATATTGGAACCTTGAGGTGTTCAAATTTTTTTCATATTTACAGAAAGATTGGTTCATCAGACTTCCAAAAGAGAATTTTATATTTTCAATTACTGTAATTTTTTGAAATTAGTATCAAAACTGTCCAGTAAATATAATAATTCTGTATTATAATTAACAATGAAGCCTCAGTCATTGTTGGACAATTTGATATAAATACAAACCAATATTAAAAAATATTTTGAGGTTAAATTATATATATATATATATATATATGTATATATATATGTATATATATATATTTTTTTTTTCAGAACAGGGAATTGAACTCAGACCCTTGAACTTGCTAGCGAAGAGCTTATTCCACTGAGCCATCTCCCCGGCCCCTGAGGTTAAATAATATCTTTTGGAAAAAACATCCATGAAACACATTTGTAGTTCCAATTTGTGCTTTAGATCTGCCAAAGGAAAATAATAAAATTATTGGCCTAGCTTCATACACCATACTAGAATTTAAGGCTAAGTGTGAAGATGACATCTAATCCCTACTTTGTCATGATATGAATTTATCTCCTCCTAAGAACACAATACTATGAATATTGTTATAAATTAAAATTCTGCAAGGTTAGGGCGAATTTTGTGGACACTTTATCTGTTCCATAACACCAATCATTCATTTGCTGAATCTCCAAGGTATTTTTTCTATAATTAAACTCACTGGGACCTCAATCATAATTCTACTTGTATAGTTCACACTACACAAATAGATGCACATCCAGAGATGTCAGAAGAAGAAGAACTATCTCAAATACAATTTCCAGGGACATAGCCTCTGGAGAATGTCAGAATTGAACAAGTTGAAGTCAAGGCATCAAAAAAGTAATAGCCAATTTGCTCAGAAAAGAAATGGCTCACAACTCTCTTATTAAAGTTAGGTGGCTGAATATGAACAAAATAAGAGTAATATACTCATGTATGAATACATTTCTTTAAATCCAAGTATTTAAAAAATTGATAGTATCTAATGAAAAGTGTATTTTTTAACGAGCATGGATTAATGAAATACATGAATTTGGTGATTATACTGTTTAATTTATGCAATTTCACTTGACAGAACTCGCAGCCAGAAAGGAGAAAAAGAGATTTCAGAGCAAGCCATTGAATACTTGATTCAAAGGCTCATATATTCTGGCTCACTAGTATGTAAAAATAAATGTTCTGAATATATGATAGCTTTAAACAGATCAGTGGTTAGAATGTGTATTAGAAAAATAGGGAAAGAAAAATAAAACAGATGAGGGATTACTCATATCTAAGATTTTATGGAACACTCACAAAACATAAGCAAAACATGAGACCATGACACACCCAGCGATTTGTATCCGTGGACCTAAATCATAAAGCATAAATATCTGAAAATAAGAAACTCAGCCAGAGCCATCTGACAAAAAATATACTTCCCCAATGACTTACAAATGTGTCTATGCGAATTGGAGACACAATCATATGTCAATCAGATTGTTGCAGTAAAAATTAGTGAATTTTATAAAATGATGAACGCAATCAAAACCAAATTTTCTCAGTTTTTTAATTTTTATTTAATTAGTATTTGTAGGACATGCATTTTCAAACACATCAGGGAGAATTTGCATTTTCACAGCACAATTTTTTTTTTTCAAAATCCTCTTCTCTTGCCTTTCCCTTTGATCCTTCTCTACTTCTGCTTTCCACATTTTCATTCTTATTGTTATTATGAGGACTAATGCAAATGACTAATTTTGAGGTACACAAATTAAGGCAAAAGTAGAAGAAATCCAAATAAATAGAATTAGACTTGGAAAAAGAGATAGTAGTAAATGTCTTCCAAGAGATTAATAAATTATTAGACACATACTAGCTAACACACTGAATCCAAATGAAACAGAAATGCTTAACAGACCCATAATAAGGAGGAAGACAGAATCATATGTTATAACCCTCACAGGAAAGATAAGTCAAGGAGCAATGTGCTGCAGGACTCTAGTTCACCATAGAAAAAATATAGTGAAAATGAAAAGAAGCCACTAATTTCCTACATTAAAAAAAGATGCCTAAAACTAAAAGATCACATTTTAGAAAAATTAGACAAACACAAAATTCCAAAAGACTA